GTTGTATTTTCATGTGCAGACAGTTTTTGTCTCTCTGGTAGATTGGTTTTTACTGACCTGTCGGCATCATGTCACCAGGGATAGTCCTATGACTAACAGGGACAGGCCTGTTAGTCTGTTTCTGTACTTGCTGTGATGCTGTGAAGCTCAGGTTCCCTACATCATTTAAGTCCTTCCTAGGAGGAGCCATGGAGAAATTTCCCTGAGGCCCGAGTATCTGTGCTCCTAAGCAACTGGTTTGTTTTCAGCATATGGACACTAAATGGAGTAATGATTACCTCCCTCTCTGTGCTGGCAACTGGGACACATGGAGGTAACCTTTCCCCTTGGTCCTGGGAAAGCCTAGAGACCTCAAGGCGTGTGCGAGGCTGCTGACTGTAGGAGGCTCCTGACTGCTTCTGGCTTCATTTTCCCTCCATCCTTATTTCCCTTCACTCTGATATCCTCACTTACATGTAATGTACTGCTTTAAAAAGTATGTAAACTGCGTCAGTTTACTTTTTTCAGCTGGGACAGGTATGGATTCAGAAGGCCTCTTGATATCTTTAGAGTTCCCTTAGAGTAACTGGGATAGTGACATGATATTTTAGGAGAAACAAGTCACTATTGACTGTTGTTTTGCCCCTGGTCAGTGCTCAGCTTTGGAAAATAAAAACACTTTCCCCTCCCCCCTGCCTTTTGGGGGGGGGGGGTGTTAAAATTGTCTTTTAAGTCTGTCTGAGTTGGTTTTAGCAGCTTTCTTGCTTGCATGCTTTGCATGAAAAGACCAGCTACAGTTGGTAATTCTTCCCTCTGCTGCTTCTTGGGGAGAGTCAACACCTGGACAAACACACCTTTCCAGCCATGAAATGTGACAGGAAGCAGCAGCCGGTTCCTCTCTGGTTTCCAGGCCTGGTTTCTCCCAAGGAGCAACGTTCATGGGCCAGGCGACCGAGCAGCTTCCCGGGCCATCCTTGGGGCTTCTTGCCGAAGCTGCCGCCTCCGTGAACTCCTCACGCTCCCTGGCCTGGCGCTGCCTCGGCCGCCTCCCTCCCCTCCGCCGGGCCTGGCTCTCCCCTCGCCTGCCCAGAGGCGCCCGCAGCTCAAGCCACGCGGTGCTCCTTGGGCCACTTCTGGGCTGATGTGATCAAGTCCCCTATCATGCTATTTTCAAAACAGGAACAAGTGACTTGAAGGATACGGGATTATTCTTAAGATATCTCAGAAGGCAAGAGGGATCCCACCACCTCACACCACTGTCCCCTCTCCTAGTCTTCCCCTCTCCTTCCCTCAGTAGGAAAATACGCAATGGGGTTCCTGCTGACGAGAGGGTAGGGGAGCAACGGGGGAGCTGGAAGCCCCTTTAGGCTCAGCCTGGACAGGTACAACTACTGAGGAACCCTCCTTCTAGGCTTTCAAAAGCCTACAATAAGCATAGTCCAAAAGCACACCCTTATCAGGTTTGGGGGCCCTTCTACACAAATTCACTTTATTTTCTGTATGGAATTCAGCAGTTATGTAAGAAAATGGGAGAGGCACGTGGAACCCAGTCTGGGTAACAGCATCACAGGGAAGCATGCTAGATTAGGACCGTCATTCACGTCAGCTAGGATGCTAAGTAAGGAGTTATATGAAGTTATTTTGTAATGTTATGTGTTGAATGTATAGCAGTGTGGTCCATGGTACCATTTTGGTGATTATGAATGTTATCACGTTAAATATGCTTGGGGCCTCTTTTATTTATTTTTTATTTTTAAAAATATCTTTATTGATTTCAGAGAGAAGAAAGGAGAGGGAGAGAGAGAGAGAAACATGACAAGAGAGTCATTGATCAGCTGCCTCCTGCACGCCCCCGACTGGGGATGGAACCCGCAACCCGGGCATGCGCCCTGATCAGGAATCGAACCCAGATCGCCTGGATCCTAGGTCGACACTCAACCGCTGAGCCACGCCTGGCCAGGCGGGGCCTCTTTTAAATACTTAGTGGCTAACACAACTATGTATTCTAATTAGAGATCTACCTACATTGTAAATAAGCCTTTGCTGAGAAAAATGGTTGGAGATACAAACACGTCTGTTCATTCCCAACATTATGTTCTCAGAAGAGAAAAAATGACATTTAAGCCCTTCAAGGTATACTATAGGCATGACAAATATGATGGTTCACTCTTCTTAAACTTTAAAAGGAGTATGTTTTTCATTCCTATGTAAATGGTATCAACATTTAAAAAAGGGAGACTAGAAACCTCAGATGTTGTAGTGATCTTAGCTGACTAGTCAGCATCTTGTGCTATTAATCTCAAAGCTGTTCTCAAGAACTATTAAAAATGTTCTGGGGTAAAATTAATTTTCCTTCTGTTCCCCTCCTCCCTTTTAAGCTCAGGTGTCTGTGTCTACAGGACAGAAAGGTCCCTGAACCTATCTTTGAGACAGCTTAGCTTATGAGAGACTAACATTTTAAGTGATTTTCTGTGGCCTTCCTCTGAAAAAACTTAAGCTGGTAAAAGAAATTGTTCATTGGTAGGAGCCCACATTTCATCTGTATAATCAATAAATCAGATTGGAAGAGTATCCTGGCAGAAAGTGATGACTTGGGGTTAGATTAAAACTCTGAATACACTGATGGGAACTTTTCATTACTTCTCTAATTTTTAAAGGTTAGAAATTAAGGCATGAGAACAGCCAGATTTGACCAGAACATTTTAGTGAATAAAATAAACATACCTTAAAATAAAATCATTTTTAAAAAAGTTCTATTATACAGATAACCTTCAAGACCTAAAGAAATACCACAGTGTAAAAATATGAAGGGCGTTTGCTATACAGAGGAAATGTGTACTTTATTCTCTGAAAAAACATTTAGGTACTAGGCTAGCTCCTACTGAGTAGTATAAATTCAAAGGTACATTAATATGTTCTTACCCTTTAAAAATATTTAGTCTACACCTAGTCTTGACAAAATACCACAAAAAACTGATTAAAAAATTAAAACTCGTTGCCCTGGCTGAGTGGCTCAGTTGGTTGGAGCATTGTCACACTCACCAGAAGGTGGTGGGCTCGATTCCCAGTCAGGGCACATACCTAGGTTTCAGGTTCGATCCCTGGTTGGGGCACGTATGGGAGGCAACCGATCTGATATTTTCTTTCTCCCTTCCTCTCTCTCTAGAAATCAATGAAAGCATATTCTCAGGTAAGGATCAAAACAACAAAAAACTTATAATTTCTTAAAAGGTTCAGCATTTTCTTTCAGTGGAAAGAGAAAAAGGCATTCAACAAATTCACTCTAGCTGGGCATTCCTTTTTGTTAGTCAATCCTAACCCTAACCCAGAAGGCAAGGCCTTACTTAGCAAGTGCACCTTCTGGGTAAACCTCACCTGGACCAGGCGTGCGGGCTGCTTGAAGCTTGGGAAAGGGGGTCTGCCATGGGGAGCCTTGCGATCTGACATTCCGGGGCCATCTGAGGGTTCTTCAGAGCTCAATGGATTTTAAGCTTTGCCTTCCATTAGGCAAAAAAGCCAGACTCTTCCAGTGCGTTCACTGGGATGTCTGGGTTCTCAGTTCAGCAGAGCAGTTGTCAGACATCCAGGGACACGCTCTGCCCTCACACTTGTGCTGTTTGGCAACGTTGTTGGTGCTGAGAAGCTGGGTTGGTGAATTTTGTCAGTGGATGCTGACAAGTGATAGCAGCCGTAACGATCATGTTAGCTGTGGTCTAGCAGTAGGGAGGAAGAGTAAGGTCAGAAATGAAGTTGTGTGTTTAATTCTAGAGAACTGGCATTTTATAACCCAGATTCAGTGGCGTTACATTATCCTCTCCCCTGGTCACGGCCCACCCATGATACTAGCAGGAACACATGGTTTTAAGAGATGACCTCAGATTTTAATAGAATGAAGCAAACATGGTATTTTACTTTTGAACCATCAGGGATGTGTTTACTGGAGTCCACCAGGGTGCCTTTTAAGTGAGATGAATCAATCGCGTGCATTCCTGACTGTGCACAAATGTCTGCGTGGAAGATCCAGTGTTCAGTCCCCGGGTTGGTGAATGAAATGGACGCGTGTGCTCTGAGCATGAGATTTCACAGCCTAGGTCATGGCTCACGGGCTCCGGCACCAGCATATCCTGTGGAGAAACGGGTGCAGATGGACAGGAGTGGCGGTATCTCTGTCTTGTTCTTTTCCCACTTTGCTCTTAGAGGGACTAAAGACAAGGGAATGGGAAATAGGTGCCTAAAGATACTACAGAAACAAAACTGGCCTCTAGGTGGTGCTTGAGAGCAGTTTAGGGAAGGCTGGCATCCTTTAGGGTGAAGTGGGTATTGGCTGAACCTCAGCAACCTGCAGGCCCCTGGGCCAGGTCTTCCACAGACTGTCCCCACCTGTTCTACAGTCTCTACAGGTGGCTCACTGGGCCAGTTGTAATACATTTCACTTTTTCACGTGTTCTTCTGCCTTGAAGAAACTTTCAAGCTGGTAAAATAAAAAATTCCATTGGTAGGAGGTTACATTTTCTCTGTATAATATATCAGATTGGAAGAGTGTGTCCTAGGAATAAACTGAATTTGGATTAAAGTTCCCACAAATGTATTCAGAATTTTAAATTTTAATCAAACCAGTGGAGGGAAATACACGTAATCAAAGAGCTTTTGCCAATCATAGGCCGTTTTGCCACCAAGCTTTACTTTGAAATACCTGCCTGCTTCTCCCACAGTTTCCTATTTGCCCAGCCCTGTCGGTCTAGATGGAGCAGGCTGGACCCACAGGAGCTTGGCGGTGGAATTTCTGAGGGAACAGTTTATCTTTATTTTTGGCAATTTTTAAAAAAGGTATTAGAGCTGCTACATTTGATATCGAACACTGATCTGTACTGTAATTCCAGTAAAAACATTTTCCATCAATAAAAGCAAAGACCCCTCTCCCTGTGTAATAATAGTAAAATGTGAATCCACACAGGTAGCCTGGCCTCACTCAAAAGTACACCTTTAGCATAAAAATGTTAAGAATCTATAGATCAAGACAATTTTTACATATACTTTTTTTTATTAAATATGTAAAAAGATAACCGCAAGTCAACTTATTCACATATTCAGAGACAAAAAGCTATTCTACCATGCGACAATGGTGGGTAATGGAAAACGAATGTGATACATCTGAATAAGACCTTTTCATCTATTATGTCATTACTTATCTATATTTATAATTAACAATACATGTTTACATTCCTTTCAGTTTACATTTAATATATAACAAAAGCTTTATGGTGTACTATTTAGTAAAAGTAATTTGAATGCATATTAAACCTTAACGGAATAATGGAGATACTCACCAGGGAAGGGATTTCTTGGTTCCCTTCTGGAGTTTACTTCTCTCAGGTCAACAGGGTGTTTGTCTTTTTCTGCTTTTCTGCTTAGAAGACAGGCTCTCTTTGCCCCCCGCTTCGATCACTTCCTAGCTGGCACGTGCAGTGGAAGTGCTATGACAGGCACAGCGGGTGTGAGGGGGGGAGGAGCAGGGCGCACCCCAAGGGCAACTTCTGGGCCCAGCATGACGGGGCCCTGGAGTGTGCCCTGGCTGCTGAGATGAGGGAATGGTGGGTACAGCTGAGCAGAGGAGCAGGCCGATGAGGGGTGGCCTGCACAGAAGCTGGGGGCAGCAGAGGGCTGAGAAACAGCTGTAAAAGGTCCCCAGGTTTCAGTGCTGCCTCCTGTGTGCAGCTGCAATGAAAGAGGCTTCAGATGAGGACAACAGGAGGACTGTATAACTCTTTTCTAAGTAAATGAAGAGTGTGCTCCAAGACTCTGGGAAGGAGAATGCTGTGTTTGCAAACTACCTGGCCTGTGTGTTTACAGCTGAGAAAGTTGGGATTGAGGGAGAAATGGAGCGGGTGTCGGTGGTGAGGCTCATGCAAGTTACACAGCAATCGTGCGCCCAGCCCCGGGTTTTACTGAGCTACCCAGGGCTGGCAGAAAGCTGCGTAGGAACCACTGACACATAATGTGCGTGACTTACTTATGGCGCCTCTTTATAAAAGCTATTTTAAAACAAGGAAGCTCTGAGTGCAACAGGCTTGGAGGGGAGGGCACACTGTTAAGCATGATGCTGTGAATAGCACAACCAATACCTGTAACCAGGTGTGGGAGGATGTCACTGCCGAGAGCCAGGCTTTCCAGCCTGAGAGAAGGGAGCTGCCACTAGCAGAGCAAGCAGGAGAGAGAAGGGAAACCAAACACCATGGAACATCTGTCCAATCCTGCACAGTGCTGTAATTACCTCAAAAATACAAGCCACCTTTTTCAAACAGAACTCAAATACCACTTTGCTGCAAAAGGTTTATTTTGAGACGACTTCTTTCGGTGGGGAGCTTCAATGCAAGAGTTTAGCATTAGTATTTCATCAATCAATCAATAAATGTCAAAGCTTTATGATACATATTTCAGAAATTTATTTTAAGCTTTTCAGTTAGGAGTGGGGTGGGCAAACTCGTTGTTTTTGCTGCACCTGCTTAAGTCAAATATCAAGAGAAGGTAAATCTGAAATTAGAAACCGAGTGCAATGAATGATCCAGGAAGGGAGATCATCTGTTGAAGGGAAAAAAATAAAGGGGCAAAGATTTGGAAAGATACTAAGAAAATGTGCAAATCTTAGTTAAAAAAAATAAGGAATGCTTTTAATTCATCAATGTTTCCTCGGTTGATGAACTGCCACAGTTTAGCAAAGGTCAATGAGAAGGAGGGCCGCAGTATCACAGAGGGGACATTCCTTATGCCAGAAGGCAGGGGGAGTCAAAGACTATCCTGTGCTGTCACTCCAGTGTCAACACTCAACATCAGAACCACGCTGCTCCCCTGGAATTATCCTGTTACTAAGTCTTCACATCCAGCAAATGTGCAGCACAAGGCAGAGCGCTGACCCTCAGGGCTGCACACCCTGTGGCCATTCCTAGGAGGAGGCCCCTAGCGTGGATGACAGGGCTGGCTCTGAGACCTGCGCCTGTGCAGACCCCTCTGGACTGCAGACAACTGATGACAGCTTCTTGGGGAGAGTGGCTGCCCACCAAAGAGGACCCTGAGAAAGAAAATAGCATGAGAACCTGGATGGGGGAGGAGGGGGCAAGTGGTGAGAGGGCCAAGTTGAGATAGTTTTTAAAGACGTTCGCTCAAGGAAAACACTGACATCCTGCGAGGCTGTCTGTCATGCTCCCCTATGAGCACCGCGGGGCCCTGAAGTCCTAGTTTTGATTCCTTTTTTCCCTTTAGTGTTGAGAGCAGAGGGAGAAACGGACTCCGTTTTCCCCTACGAAACAAGTCACTGTCATTATGGCTTTCATATCAAGTATCTCTTTCCCTTTGTTCCAATTTATTATTTTACCAAATTTACGTTCAGAGGTTAGACTCGCAAACATCAAAGCACCACAAATGTGTGTGACATCTAGTGACACGGGGTTGGAAATGCCAATATAAATACCATATATCAAGTTACCATTGTTTCACACCAGGATAAAAGGGGGTGTTGGTGGTGGTAGTGGGGTGGGGAGAGTTGTTCTGGAAAGAAAGAAAGAGCAGAACCAATCTCACGCAGCCAAGTGGTGAAGTTGAAGGTATGTGACCCCACGATCTCTTAGGTAGGCTGCCAAACGGCCAGCTGCTGTGTGTCTTGGCAAAGGAAACAGGACCGAGTGCAGTGGCTGGAGTATGTATGCGACAGTGCGTCGATGTTACTGGCGGACTGGGAACAACTGGTTTCTGTTGAGCTTGAGGCCACACATGTTCCGATTCTCCAGAAGAAAAGTTCCCACGCAAGATGGAAGTGTCAAGAGCTGCCACGACGGGTCAGTACTCTTCCTGCTGCTGGGGCTGCTGTTCGTGGACTTGCTCCTCTGCTTCGGGCTCTTCTGGGTGGCCCTCCTGCGGGGCAGGGAGAAGCTTTAGCTGAAACAGTGCGCCAGCCCCACCGTCCCCGCGCAGCACAGCGTCTCCAGGCTGGAGAGAACGCAGGCTTAGGAACAATGTGCACTGCGGTGCTTCCCTGCTCCCTCCGAGGGGGGAGCATCCTGGGCATCAGGCTTTACGCACCAAACTTTTCCTTCTGTTTTGGAAAGAAATCCTCACAGAACCTATTACGTATTTTCCTGTTCTTTGTAAAAGAGTAAACCAAATGTAATGGCTGCGGAGCATCATGAGAACCACAAGGCAATCTGAGACAGCATAGAGACCAGGCCCCTGACACGTAACTGCCCAGGACGTGGAGCTTTTGATCTGCTTCCTGCCCTCCTGCCATCTGCTTGAGGGAGACCCCTTGTGAAAATGTTACTCTTCTGTTACAGACTTAGATGCCAGAGAAGCAACCCGTTAGTGATAAGGAGAGGATACCAGGTGTTGCAGGAAAGGACCTGCTGAACCCATTCTTCAGTTGTGATGATGCTTTAAAGCACTGCTTCTGCTTGGGTGTCTGCAATCATTGCCTGTTCACTGAGAGAGTAGCTCTCTGAATCCGACTGTAGCACGCTCGTGTGTGTGTGTGTGTGTGTATGGGGGGGGGTGGCGATGTGACCAGTAGAATAGAAGCTGAATGTAGTCATCTAGGCAGATCCCCTTGAAATCAACCCCCAAGGCAAGAGCTCTAGTCTCAGGCCGATCCTGCCTGCCATTAGCTAGGAATTCGGTGGCCTACGTCAGCTCTTAATTTGGAGTTCACCTGAGGGTGCTCCTACACAAGGACACCCTGCTGGGACAAGATCTGGCTCCGAGATAGAATTGGGTGTTTCCTCCCGTCAGGAGTGCAGCCCAGGAAGCTTCAATCCTGCCACCTTACTCTGTTTACTGGGCACCGCTGGACTGACAGTAGCACCTTTGCTCAAACGCAAGGTGCCAGGCCCAACGTTGGATTTAGCCTCAAACAAGTGTGTGAAGGAAATGACTAGAATTCAGCTAGGGCCTGACAGACTACACAGCAGTATCTATACAGAACATGATGCCCACTCCACTTGGGGTGCTGTAGACCCACTACAAGGTAACCTCTGGTTTCTTCCACCAGATCTGAACGCTCTGAAAACCATGTTTTGTGAGGCGATCATTGTCTCTGGGACCTCACCAGGCAGAGTTTCAGGGCTTCAAGACCCATAGTCTGAGATAATGGGAACCAAGAAAGAAATTTCAAAAGAGTATCTGGGAGAATGAAAAAACGGGTAGAGAGTCCCCAAACCCCAGACAGTTTCTCAGAGTTTAGGAAACTGTCATAGCTGGGATTTTAATTTTGCATGGAATCAACATCTACCTGGGGTCAGCAGGAATCAGACATAAAGTAAACTTGCCAGTGGCTTGTTCCACTCAGTGGAAACACTAGCACACATGCGATTCAACCACAGAGCCGTCGCAGCATCTGCAGACCTCTGGGACAAACAGACGCAGACGCTCCTCCCCGCTTCAACCTGGCACCAGGAGAAGCTCCAAACCCCAGCCCATCCTCTCTGCCTTCTACAGTGTGGCCCCATCAGGCTCCTGCGGCCTCTCCCTCCCTGCACTGGCTGACTTGGGGGACCTGCCTTGGTCTCTGCCATTCATACGCCCC